AATATTTTTCTTACCAAAGTGGAATTAATTAGAAATCAATAACAAAAAGCTATATAAATGCTACCAAATATTTAGAAATTAAGCAATGTACTTCTAGATAATTTACGGGTCAAAGAAAAAAATAAGCAAAATTTAAAAATATTTTGAAATGGATGAAAATAACAGTACAACATATCAAAAGTACAGAATGCAGAATTCCCATCATAAGAAATTTGAAAAAAAAGCAAATAAATTCAAATCATTCAGAGGGTGGAAATAATAAAGGTAACAGTAGAACCTGATGAAATCTAAAACACAAAAGCAATAGAGAAAATCAATCAAATCAAAAGCAAATTCTTTAAAATGACCAATAATATTGAAAACAAGGAAAGAAGCGTGATAACACAAATTACCAATGTCAGGAATAGAAGCATGAATAGAGCCTGTAGACATTAAAAGAATAATATCAGAATATAACGAATAGTGTCATATCCATAAATATGACAACTTAGATGAAACAGACAAGTCCTTGAAGGACACAAACTACCACAGCTTCCTGAAGACAAAATAGTTAATCTGAAAGCTCTGTATCTATTAAGTAAATTGGATTAATATTTCAGGATTTCCTTAAAGATAAAACTCCAGGTCCAGAGGCTCCACCAGTGAATTCTATCAAACATCTAGGAAAGAAAGAATATCCGTGTGTACAAACTCTTTCAGAAAATAATGGAGGACAACTTTTTACAGCTCATTTTATGAGTTCACAATTACCCTGACACCAAAACTAGGCCAATATCACACACAAAAGTTATAGACCAATATTCTCATGAATATAGACACAAAAATCCTTAGCAAAATAAGGCAAATTCAATCTGGCAACATATAAAAAGGGTAATACTTCATGTCCAAGTGGGATTTATTTTGGGGGGGATATTCCAGGCTATTTTGACATTTGGAAATCAGTCAGTAGGATTTAATGTATTAACAAACTAAAAGAGATAAACAATATAGTCACTTGAAAAAATTCAATAACCATTACAAAATACAACAACAACGAGCTACCACTACATACCTATTAAAATAGCCAAAAGCCAAAACGCTGATACTACCAAATGCTGATGAGAATGAGAAGCAACTGGAGCTCTCATTCACTGCTGGTGGAATATGGAATGGTACAGCCAGTTTGGAAGACAATTGGGCTATTTCTTACAGAACTAAAGATACTCTTATAAGATCCAGCAATTATGCAACTTGGTATTAACCAGATAAGTTGAAAACTTATCTTTTTTTATATTTTATTTATTTATGCATGAGAGACACACACAGAGAGAGGCACAAACACAGGCAGAGAGAGAAACAGGCTCCATGTAGGGAGCCCGAAGTGGGACTCGATCCAGGACCCCAGGATCACACCCTGAGCCAAAGGCAGGCGCTCAACTGCTGAGCCACCCAGGCATCCCGAAAACTTATCTTTATACAAAAACCTGCACATGTATATTTATAGCAGCCTTATTGATAATTGTGAAAACATGGAAGCAACCTAGAGGTTTTTCAGTAGTTGAATAGATTTTTAAAAACTGTGCTACATTCAGACAATGTAGTATTACCCAGCACTAAAAAGAAATGAACTATCAAGCCATGAAATGATAGGGAGGAAACTTGACTTCATATTTCTAAGCAAAGAAAAGGCTACAATGGCTGATATGATTCCAACTTATATGACCTTTTGGAAAAGGCAAAACTATGGAGACAGTGAAAAGATCTGTGGTTGCCAGGGGTTAAGGAGGAAGGTAGGAATAAATAAGCAAAGGTCAAAGGACTTTTAGCTGTTCTGTATGACACAATAATGTGGATACATATCTTTGTACACTTGTCATGCACAATACCAAGAGTGAAACATAATGTAAACTGTGGACTGGGCAGGGCCAGGGAGGGGGAGTAGGGGTGATAATGATGTAATGATAATGTAGGTTTATTGTTGTAAGAACAATACCACTCTGGTACTATTGGATTTTGATAGTGAAGGAAGCTGTACAAATGTAGGGGTAGAGGATATATGGGAAATACATCCATACCTTCCCCCTCAATTTTACTATGAACATAAACTTCCCTAAAATATAAAGCCTATTTTAAAAATTGGTAAGTGATAAATTTTAAAGTCACTATCTGTAAAGGCATAAAGAAATGAAATATTTAGGAATAAATCTAGTGCAATAAGTGGAATATTTATGTTCTGAAAACTAGAAAACATTTTTGAGAAAGTACTAAATTAATTAAGAGATATACCCTGTACACAAACTGAATAATCAATATGAATAAGAGATCAATTTTCCTTTCATTGACTTGCAGTTTCAGATCAATCATTCTAGCTAAAATCCTAGCAAGTTTTTGGTAGAAATTGACAGACAGATTGTAAAAGGTATATAGAAATGGAAAGGTCCTAGAATGCTCAAAACAAATTTTAAAAAGAACAGCAAAATTAGGAATTTATATTACCTGATTTGAAACCTACTCTAAATCTACAGTAATCAGGATAGTATGGTGTTTATTTAAGGATAGACATATAAATCCCTGGAATAGAAAAGAAAGTCCAGGAATAGATCAACATACATATGGTCAATTGATTTTTGACAAAGGTGCACAAGTAATTCAATGGAGATAAAGACGGTCTTTGCAGTGAGTGGTTCTGGGACAACTACATATCCATATGGGGGAGGGGAATAGTACCTCAATTCACATCCCCTGTTAAATATAAAAATAAACTTGAAATGGATCAGAGACCTAAATGTAATATCTAAAATTATAAAATGTCTAGGAAAAAGCATACAAGAAAACCTTCTTGATCTTGGGATAGGCAATATTTCTGAGGACACATACAGAGATAAAAGGTAGAGCATTGGGAATATAGTCAATGGTATTTTCATGGTGTTCATATGGTGACAGGTGGTAGCTTGTGGTGTTGTGGTGAGCATAGCCTATTGTAGAGTTGTCCAATCACTGTGTTATACACCTGAAGCTAATATGACAATGTGTGTCAACTATACCTCAATTAAAAAAAAAAGATTTCTGAGGATACAAAAAACACTAACCATAAAAATCCACATAATCGTCTTCCTTAAGGTTCGAAATGTTTTCCCCTCCAAATGTGCTATCAAGAAAATGAATCAACAAGCCAAAGACCATAAGGAAATATTTGCAATTGCATGTATCTAACAAAGAATTTCTATTCGGAATATAAAAACACAATCCAGTAACAGAAAGGTAAAACACCCTAGACAAAAAATGGGCAAAAGATTTGAACAGACACTTGACAAAAGAAAATAAACAAATGGCCAATAAGTACATGAAAAGATGTTCAAGGTTCTTAATAGAGAAATGCAAATTAAAACCATAATGAGATACTACTATACACCTACTACTAGAATAGCTAAAAGTTAGAAGTTTGACACAACCAAAGACATGGAGCAGCTTGAACACTCAGGCGTTGTGATAGTAGACCACTTTGAAAAACAGGTTGCCAATTTCTTATTCAGTTAAACGTAGATGTATCATGAATGTAGCAAGTACAGTCTGAGGTATTTAACCACCCCTCCAGCAAATAAATGATCACACAAAAAATTTTACCCAAATGTTCATAGCAGTTGATTAATAATAATCAAAAACTGGAGGGGCGCCCATGTTGCTTAGTGGTTGAGCGTCTGCCTTTGGCTCAGGGTGTGATCCCAGGGTTCTGGGATCAAGTGCGGCATTAGGCCTCCTGTAGGGAGCCTGCTTCTCCCTCTTCCTATTTATTTATTTATTTATTTATTTATTTACTTACTTACTTACTTACTTACTTACTTACTTACTTACTTAGTTACTGCTTCTCCCTCTTCCTGTGTCTCTGCTTTTCCCTCTATGTCTCTCATGAATAAATGAATAAAATCTTTTTTAAAAAAATTAAAACTGGAGACAAACCAAACTCTGACCTATAGATGAATAAACAAGTTGTACTACATTCATACAACAGAATACTACTCATCACTGAAAAGAATGGCCTACAGATACATATAAAAATGCTGTTGTCTCGGGGCTCCTGGGTAGCTCAATTGATTAAGTGTCCTCCTCTTGATTTCGGCTCAGGTCACGATCTCAGCATCCTGAGGTTGAGACCCACTCCATGCCCAGCACGGAGTCTACTTAAGATGCTATCTCTCCTGTCCCTCTGCCCACCCCCACACTCTCTGCCTCTTTCTCTCTAAAATAAAAGCTAAATAAGTCTTTTTTTTTTTTTTAAAAAAAAAGGAACATTGTCTCAAAGGCATTATGCTAAGTGAACAAAATCAGACACAAAGATTACATATGTTATATGATATATGTGAAGTTCTGGAAAGCAGTTCAGTGGTTGCCTGGGGCTGAGACTGAGGAGTAGGGGTGAAGAAGGGAAATTTTAGCTTGATGGAAGTGCTGTACGTATTGATTTATGACAGTGGTTAAACGAGTGTATACAAAACACATCCAGCCATGCACTTAGAATGAGCACATTTTATTAGATGCATGTTATAAGTGAATAAAGTTATTTGGTTAAATTAACTTGGTGTGGCTAAAATATAAAATGTTCATGGACAAAATGGTCACCAAAGAAGGCTCTATAGGGTGGCAGCGAGTGGATCCATGATGTTTTTCTCATCCCACACAAATTGTATATTTTGTTTAAAATATGTTTTAAAATGTATATACCAAAAAATGGCTCAGGCTATTTATGGAAGACAATGTGTAATAAATCAGGAATCCTTTTCTGAGCACGACCCAGCATAGGAAGAATATTCTACCTCATGACCCACTACACAAATACCCACATATATAACAGGCTTATCCCTCTCTACATGCAGTGAATTCATGGGAACACAAGCATTCATAGGAGTAGGAATATTTCCTATTTTATCTTTTTTGAAATGCTAGTTTCAACCCTTTATATTTATGTCACAACCCACTAACGGGTGATGATCTTCAGCTTGAAAAACACTATATTAAAAACCTACCTGGGGTGCCTGGGTGGCTCAGTGGTTGAGCGTCTGCCTTTGGCTCAGGTCCTGGAATCGAGTCCCACATCGAGTTCCCCACGGGGAGCTTGCTTCTCCCTCTGCCTGTGTCTCTGTTTTTCATTCTGTGTCTCTCATGAATAAATAAATAAAATCTTTAAAAAATAATAAAAAATAAAAATAAAAAATAAATAAAAACCTACCTGACATGGTTAAAGACTATGATTAAGCAACTCAACTTTAATTTCTAGATAAAATCAAGTTTTAAAACAGAATAGTTTAGAAGGAAAAGACTGGGGAAAATTGAGAGTTAAGAGGATTAGGGACATAAAAACATAGGGACAGTCCTAGTTTATTCCTTCCAGCTGTGCGAAGGCCGAGGTACTAGAGGAGCATTAACTTCCTTGACAGATGAATCTGCTTCACACTTGGTGTGGGACCAACTAGCTGTATGATCTTATTCAATTAATTTGGTCTCTCTGAGTTTCAGTTCCCTGTCTTAAAAAAAAACATGGTGATAATACTTATCTCATAGAGTTGTATAAGGATTAAGTGAGATAGCAGATAACGAACAAGCACAAAGTAGTTTTCCCTTCTAATTTTTCATGTGACATAGACCGTATAGCAGAACATGGAGCCTCCTTTATGAAAAAGGAAAGGCAAGTTCCCAGAGTGAGCCAAGGATGCTCAGAGCATATCTGAAATGCCCATAAGGCACAAGGAAGGTTGTTTACTCAGTGTCTGAGATGAAGGTAGAGTTAGGTCAGGCAGGGTTAACTCACAGTTGGATTTCATGCAGGTATCAAATTGTGTCTTTCTCCCTATACTTTGTTCTAAATGGAGTTATTTGCTCATGAACATTTATAATTTGTCATTAGTAATTATATAATGCCAGTTGCCAATTACTGTCAGCTATAGACAAGGGCACTAAAAGGCCTGCCTTGCTCTCCTTCACTTCTTCACCTTCCCATGTAGTCCTCATCCTCTGCCCTCTTGCCTCCTTCTACCTCCTCATTCTACTAAAATTTCCCTCCCTGAAATCACCAATGATATAAGGCCAGCTGTTCTAAAAGTGTGGCCTGCAAACCCTAGAAGGAAGTGGGGAAGGGGACCCAGGGCTAGATCCTTTCAGAGAGTCTGCAAACAGAAAAGCAATTAAAATAATTCAAGACTGCCATTAAATAATTTAATAATAATAATAATAATAAAGCAATTAAAGATTGTAGAAAAGAAAAACTGCAGAAACAACTTTTAGTTACTTATTTAAATTTTGTTACTTAACATACAGTGCCATATTAGTTTCAGGAGTAGAAGTAGAATTCTGTGATTCATCACTTACATACAATACCCAGTGCTCATCACAAGTCCCCTCCTTAAGACCCATCACCCATCTAGCCCATTCCCCACTCACCTCCCTCCATCAACCCTCAGTTTGTTCTCTATCATATATGGAATTTAAGAAAGAAAACAGATGAACATATGGGAAGGTGGAAAAGAAAAAAAGAGGAAAAGGAAACAAACCAGAAACAACCTTTAAAAATTACCATTAAAATCTTCTGAGAAACAAATAAATCATGGATGTAAAGTGCAGCATAGGGAATATAGGTAATAATATTGTAATAGCTTTGTCTGGTGACAGACAGTAACTAGACATCATGGTGATCACTTCATAATGTATATAAATGTTGAATCAGTATGTTGTACACCTGCCACTAATATAATATTGTATGTCAACTATATTTCAAGGTAACAAACCTTCTGAGAATTAAAAACTAAGGTATCACATTTGCAAAACAAGAAGGAATGATAAAAAAAAAAGAAGCCTTAAAAAATGCCCTTAGGGGCATCTGGGTGGCTCAGTCAGTCAGGTGTCTGCTTCCACTGAGCTTGAGTCATGATCTCCCCAAGTGTCAGGCTCCCTCCTCAGCGGGGGGTCTGCTTCTCCCTCTCCCTCTGCTCATGTTCTCTCTCACTTGCTCTCTCTCTCAAATAAATAAATACAATCTTTGAAAAAAAATTTTAAGTGTGCCTTAAAAAATATTTAATGCAGATTGAAAAAATCTACAGAAAGTTTAAGCGATAAACTGTGCAAATCTCTCAAACAGTAGAGCAAAAATACTAAGAGATGGAAAATAGAAGGGAAAGACTAGATAATTAGAAGGTTAGCTCAGGAGGTATAATGTGAAAAATAAACGTTCTAGAATAGAACATCAGAAATAGAGACCAGAAAACAAAGAAATAATTCCAAAAAATTTACCTGTTTTTCTAGATAGGGAGGGTCTGCTAAGGGTCCAGCACAAAAAATGAAAAGAAACCACCATACAGACATATCATACTTAAATTTAGTCTGAGGACAAAGATATTACAAATGGGAAAGAGAGTGAGAGAGAGAGAAGCGAGAGAACAGTTCACGTATTAATGATCACAAATCAGAATGACGTCAGACTTCTTACCAGCAACCATGGGAGGAACCCCAAACAATAATGGCTTCTAAATTACCTCCCACCATGTCAAATACCAAATGTGAAACTAGAAGAAAGATGTTTTAAAATATACCCGTTATACCTCCGACATCCAAATTTATATTCCCAAAATAGCTATATTTAAGAGGGGATCTCTAAGGACATAATTAAGGCAAAATGAGGTCATAAGAGTGGGGCTCTTATCTGATAGAATTAGTGTCCTTATAAGAAGAGACACCAGAGAGCTCCTTTGCACTCTCTGTGCACACACAGGGAGGAAGGCATGTGGGGACAGAGCAAGAAGGCAGCGATCTACACGCCAGGAAGAGAGCTCTCACCGGGAACACAATTGACTGACACTTTGATATGACACTTGCAGCCTGCAAAACTGTGAGAAATAAATTTCTATTATTTAAGCCCACCAGTCTGCGATATTTTGTTGTGGCAGCCTGAGCTGACTAATACAACACTAAAATTTACCTCCCACTCACCCTTTCTCTGGAAGCTACTAGAAACTGTGCTGTAGCAAAGCAAGAGAGCAAAAATGAGGAAGAGGAAGAAACAGCGGTCGGTAAACAGGAGTCTCAATGTAGGAGAGGTAACGAAGACTCTGGAAGGAAGGAGATCTAGGATGATCACTGTGCACCAGCAGCAGAGAGCACTGTCCAGATGGGATCGATCAGATCAGGCTTCCTGAGAAACTTCTCTGAGAACCTAAACTCCATAGAATAATGTGAATGAATATTTTGGGGAGGCAACTAGTCAAATGATGGAGATTCTGGGGTTGAATTCCTAAATCCATCCCCCCCCCAAAAAAAATTAAAAACTAAGCAAAGGAGAAAAGCAAAATACTTGTCAACCTGTGAAAACAGGAAATTCATCTTAAATGGTCCCAACTATGAACTCATTGTATGGCCATATAACCATTTTGAAAGGTGGGCATGGGGACTAGGAAATGTTTCTGAGGGTAAAAAGGAGGAAAGAGAACTAAACTCTCATCTTCTGGACTAGGAAGTTCACAAATAATACCTCAAACTGAAGGGAGAATCAAGGTGTGGCTCTGGCATCACGCTGTTTGGGGACACGGAGGCAAGCACAGCAAGAGTAGGCTGGAGAGGGCAGTGGTCGCCTTTGGGGAAGGGGTGGGGGGTGAGGTTGGAGGACAGCTGTTTCTCTTAGCAAACCGTACAGAGCTAGGAGACTTTTTAAACTATGCATATGTATAACTTTGATAAAAATAAAAGCTTAATGTTTGTGCTTTTGTAACCAAACATCCAAGTCTTTCACTCCTATGCTACAAGCTGATTTCTTTTTTTTTTCTTAAGATTTTATTTATTTGAGAGAGAGACAGAGAGAGCACAAGCAGGGGGACAAGCAGAGACAAGCAGACTCCCCACGGCTCAGCGTGGAGCTCTGGGACCCCGGGATCATGACCTGAGCCAAAGGCAGATGCCGAACCGACTGAGCCACCCAGGTGCTCAGGTTACACTACAGGTTAATTTCTTAATGGCTTACAGAGACCCAGGGACAGCAACCCCAGCATTTCCCCCAGTTATACCATGGCTTGTCATAATCTTTGCTTTGTTCCAGAGTGGTTTCTAGTAATAGATGGCCCATTTCAAAATGAGGGTGAGGACGAGGATGAGGTATAGTCTGATTTTCCCCTATTGTATATGAAAATGTCCAAATTGACTTAAAATGGAAATTATAGAATAATAGGTAGGGATAAATCCAAAAGTATCAGTATCATAATCAATCAAGGTTACTGATGTCACAAAGTAAAGGCAGAGATTCTTAGCTTGAGTTAAAACTGAATCAAAACAAAACAATCCAACAACTATAATACCACACACACACACACACACACACACACGCTTGGTGACCTTTACACTGAAGTTTCCTCTATCTGGGATACTGTTGTTCAATCTCTGTCCCCAGGACCCCAAGAGCCTCTCTGGAGAACCTCTGTCTCCCCCTTCAAGCTCTGCTTAGAAGTAGCCTCCTCTGTGAAGTCTCTTTGGAGGCTGCTGGCTGGGCTGGTTGTCCCCTTCTGTGTTCCCATAACCCTGCGTCTTTATGGCCTCGTCCCCAGTGACTGTTCTGATGACAGTCCCCTCTGATTGTCCGCCCAGGAGCCCCCTGCAGGGAGTTGCCCTGGGTGCCTCTCACACAAAGCTTGACATGCCGGATGCCTTCCCCTTGGCCACGGTGAACAAGACCACAGAAGCATCAGGCCAAGGAAATCCAATCTGTGGGTGGTCTAGAAGTGGGTATAGACTGGTAAGGTGAGAGAAATAGAGGGGCTTTACGAGACTATAGCATCCTCCCAATTGAAACATCAGATTGGGCACTTGGCAGGAGGGGAAGAAGCTGAAAGACAAACGAGGAGATTTAGACTTCCTGAGGCAGTCAGTGGGAAGTTACTGGTAAGCAGCCTCGATGAGTCAGTAGGAGCCCTGAGGTGGAGAAAAGCTACACGAGGGGAGGGAGATTACGGAGCAGGAGTGGGAGGAGCACAGAGGAAATGAGTCACCCCAGCAGGTGTTGCTGAGCGGAGTGGTTATGAAAGCTGCCCAGGGTTCCTGTCCCACATTTACCTACTGCCCCAAATTCCCAGAGGCTGGCAGGTAGAGCTGTTGTGGTACCTAGAGTCCCTGTTGTGGTACCTAGCATCCTGATGAGATACAGGAGGGATGCTCTGTTCCTTGGAAGAAAGCCTAACAGACACAAGCTCTCCCAGCACCTACCACCACGCATTGCCATTCTCGCTTGTAGTTCTCCCCCTCTGGGCCTAGAAGCTCGCTGCTGGCACCATTTGCTGGTACAACTCGCTGTGCCTCCTACCAGGCACACTGCTTGGGCCAGAGCAGAGCCCAATACTTACTGTTTGAGTTAAGTAAAAAGGATTCATGATGAAATAAATGTCTCACAAATGTGTGGGGGGTCCATGTTGTGGATCTCCCATGGAACTTCTGGAAGGGCAAGAAATGACTTTCGTTAACTCCTCAGGGCTGTGTCTGGTTGAGAACCCAATGCAAATGGGTAAAGGAAAAACCCTCACTGGTGTCGATGAGCCTCCAAAACACCTGCCAACCACGTGGAAGGATTAGGAAGCAGATCTCTGGGGCTGAGACCTAAACCTCCCTGCTCAGCTGTGTACCTCTGCACATAATTGGAGGTTAAAAACGTGTTGTGTGGGTTGTTATAGAAATCAAAAGTACACGCAATTCTTCTGAAGCCTTGCTGATTACCCTCAGCACATTGTGTTTTAATTTTGATCTCTGGAAAATATCAGGAACAAGGAAAGAACTTCCCACCCCCACCCCGCCAACCCCCGGCTCCATAGGAAAAACAGTGTTGAAATAATACAAACATCTTGGATCGACCCTCTTTTGAAAGTAAGAAACTCGCCTCACCCTCCCAACAGGCTTGAAGTCTGCACAGTTTGTCCGCCAAGAGAGGGGGATTTGGCAGCAGTCCTCGTAAACTCCAACCGCAGGAGGCCTCTGATTGAATTGAAATTGTTTCCTCCGGTCGGAGTTTGTTGGTGGTGCACCCCCCCCCCCAGGATGTGAATTCATCGTGTTTGCTGTGGGGTGAGACTGGGGCGGCGGGAAGGGCACATGTGAGAGGGAATGTGTCAGGGTGTTGTGTGCACGCACACGCACGTGCACACGCATAGCCCCGCTGATTCCCTAACATCCTTAGTAAAGTCACATTGACACTACCTAAAATAATTCTGGAAAACGATACACATCCTCAGTATATCCTTTGAAGTGACTGGAATTTGATCAACAAAAATAACGAATTGAAAATGTGAAATGCAAGGGCAAAATTGGCAGCGAATTCCCACAAGGCAGTAACCCAGCCTCCCTTGCCTGCACACACATACTTTCTAACCTTTGGAGAGTGCACGGTAGTCAAAGGGCTGAAGACCATGTCCTCTGGCTTCTTGAGGATGCGGGTGCGGGGACGAAAAGCAGGTTTGGATGGGAGAGGAGAGGATGGCCATTGCCATGTGGTGGGCCACTATCCCGTCTTGTGCTTGTTCTTTTTCAAAGGTAACCCTACCGCTTAAAGAAAGAGACTTTTTTTTCCTCCTGTCGTAAAAAAAAAAACATAGAATTTAAATTTACCGTCTGAACTCTTTTTAAGTATACAGTTCAGTAGTGTTAAATGTATTCATATTGTGGTGCAACAGATCTCCAGACTATTCCATCACATGACACCGAAACCCACTAAACACTAATCCCTCTGCCCTCCCCCAACTGGCCCTTGGTAACTGCCTTTCTTCCTTCTGTTTCTCTGATTTTGACTATTTTAGATACCCCGTGGGATTGGAATCATAGAGCATTTGCCCTTTTGTGTCTGACTTATTTGGCTTAGCCTAATGTCCTCTAGCTTCAGCCATGTTGCAGCACGTGACAGGATGTCCATCTTTTTAAAGACCATATAACATTCCATTGTCATATATATACTACATATTCTTTATCCAGTTGTATGTCAATGTGCACCTGGGTTATTTCTACCTCTTGGCTGTTGTGAATGATGTCGTGATGAACGTAGCTGTGTAAATATCTCTTTGAGATCCTGCTTTTGGGTTCTTCTGGATATATGCCCAGAAACTGGATTGCTGGGTCTTATGGTAATTCTATTTTTAATTTTTTTGGAGGAGCCTCCATACTGTTTTCCATAGTGATTGCATCATCTTAGACTCTCATTAATAGTGCACGAGAATTCCAACTTTTTCACATCCTCATCAACACGTTATTTCCTGTTCTTTTTTTTATTAATTTTATTTATTTATTTTTTATTTATTTATGATAGTCACACACACACACAGAGAGAGAGAGAGAGAGAGAGGCAGAGACACAGGCAGAGGGAGAAGCAGGCTCCATGTACCGGGAGCCCGACGTGGGATTCGATCCCGGGTCTCCAGGATCGCGCCCTGGGCCAAAGGCAGGCGCCAAACCACTGCGCCACCCAGGGATCCCTTTTTTTTTTTTTAAAGTAGTTTCCACACCTGGTGTGGAACCCCAGTGCAGGGCTTGAACTCATGACCCTGAGATCAGGACCTGAGCTGAGATCAAGAGCTGGACGCTTAACCAACCCAAGTACCTCTATTTTCTGTTCTTTTGTTAGTGGCCATTCTGATGCGTGCAAGGTGATATCTCATTGTGGTTTTGGTTAGGACACTCTATTTCACGTGAAGAAACTAAAGCCCTCATTGGAGCAGGCAGGTGGGACTTCCTTCCTGGTCACTAAGTCTAGGATTTGAACGTCTATACTGGCAAGTATGCCAGCCTCAGTAAATCCCATCCTGGGCTTCTTAGGGAGTAGTTCAAGCCATAAAGGAAACATGGTATGTCTTCTAGTCCATAAGTTTTAGTCAATGATAAGTAATTTAAAGCACTCTTTTTATATTAAAACAAACATAGATATATTATGAAACATAAAATTTATGTGCATTTAAAAAAAAACACACAGGACTCTATGGAACTTTGCAACCTGCGATGGGATGCTTTAAGCCAAACCCATCACAACCCTGGGAGGTGCAAGCTCTCTCTTCTCTGCCACCAGAAAACTGTAGTGGAAAGATCTGAAAAGCACTAGCATAGTCCATAGAGTACCATGAGCTTGTTTTCCCTTTCTTATTGAGTCATGGAATTGTGGGGGTGGAAGAAACATTAGAGAAAATCTTAACCCCCGCTGTCATTTTACAAATGAAGAAACAGAGGCCCCAAGAAGTGAAGGGCCACGCTTGCGTTCCCACAGCAGTGATTCCACATTCTCCAATCACAGCTTAGAGGATGTAAGTTACTGAGAGAAAACAATCACAGGCATAGAGGGACCACAGATGTACTCACACTCAACTCAGTTATGCAGAGAAAATGAGTTTATTTTTTTGCTCTGCGTTTAATTTGGCTCTATCAGCCAAGAAGTGAGAAGGCAAGAAGCAAATCTGTTTTAAACTTTTAATCCAATGCAATGCCCTCAAACAGGTCTTTAGGAGATGCTCAGTCTCTCCCTTTATATTTCTTCTCCCTTGATCCTCTCCAGAAGGTTAGCTAGGTATTCCGAGTGGCCCAGTGACCTCGTAGAGGCAGGATGACTGGGTCTTAGGACTGGCCTGCTGTTCTCTGGACCAGCTGCAGAGTGGCTCTTCTGAACTCCACCGGGGAATCTTTGGCTCGAGTGGTTCCTGAGCTTTCAGCTGGTGTCTGTTGCTAACATCCTGCAGCTGATCAACTTGCGGTCTATTCTTTGTCAGCTCAGAGTGTGGGGCCCTCCCTGCTGGCTTGGCCTCCCCTTGGCTTTCACTGGCGATTGACCCCTGAGTTTCTGCCCCATCCTCCATCTGGTCTTCTAGCCCTGCAGTCCTTGGCCCCACCAAGTCTTTGCTGCAAGGCCACCTCACCCTCTCATAGCAGGCTCCGTGCAAATGCACTAACTCCCAACATCCATGTCACGTGCGAGCCAAGGGCAGCTCCAGGGTGTACCGCAGACTCTAACCACACTGAGTTCTGTTGCTCTGGAGAACCCTGCCTAATACAGAAGGCTACGAAATTCCTACTTGATCTGTAAGAGTGGAAATGTTCCAGGCCAAGTAAACAAAAGACTAACCTGAATCATCAAAACAGAGAGTCACAGCCCTTCAATCAATTTCCAGACTTGAGCGGCTATTCAGGCCCAAAGCCCCTTGAATGAAGGAGAAGCCAGGGTTCCTTAAAAAAGGATCCCAATACACTGCCAAAAATGTAGACCATTAATGTTTCTCTCAGTCTTCCCCAGCAGGACCTATGCCTTTTATTAGGGTCACTGTGAATTGAGGGAAAGGAAATAATCAGAACTTCCAGGTACTGAATGCTGGCTCTGAACTGACCCTAGTTCCAGGAGACCCAAAGTGTTGCTGTGGAATAAAAGCTTATGGAGGTCAGATCAATGGAGTCTCACAGTAGACCCAGTGGGTCTCTGAAGCTATCCTGTGGCTATTTCCTGAGTTCTGGAATATGTAATTGGAGTAGACCTCCTCGGCAGCTAGCAGAATCCTCACATTGGTCCCCTGACCTGTGGAGTGGGATTGTGGGAAATACCTAATACCATTAGAACTACATCAACCTAAGGAAATAGTAAACCAAAAGCTATACAGCTATACCACATTCCTGGAAGGATTGTGGAGATTGGTGCCACCATCAAAGATTTAAAACCCCCACCACATCCCCATTCAACTCACCCACTGACCTATGCAGAAGACAGATGGATCATAGACAGTAACAAGTGATTATCATAAGCTTAACCAGGTGATGGCTCCAACTGCAGCTGCTACAATAATGTGGTTTTGCTGATTGAGCAAATTAACACAGTAACAAACTTTCTAGTATGCAGCTATTGATCAGGCAAATGTCTTTTTCTTCATGACCGTCCATGAGGCCCACCAGAAGCAGTGGGCTTTCAGCTGGCAAGGCCAGCAACACATCTTCACTGTCCTGGCTCAGGGTTTCAGCAATTCTCCAGTTCTATGCCATAATTTAGTTCACAAGGGTCTTGACTGCCTTTCTTTTCCATAGGATATCACACTGGTTCATTACATGGATGAAATTATGCTGAATGGACCTAGTGAGCAAGAAGTAGCAACTACTCTAGACTTATTGGAGAGACATTTGCGTGTCGAAGCATAGGAATTGAATTAGACAAAAGTTCAGGGGCCTTCTACCTCGGTGAAATTCCTAGGGGTCCCGTGGCATGGGGCATGTCAAGATATCCCTTCTAAGATGAAGGATAAGTTGTTGTATCTAGCTAGCCCATCTTATAATCAAAAAAGAAGTACAACACCTACTAGGCCTCTTTGGATTTTGGAGGCAACATACTCCTCATTTGGTTGTGTTACTTCAGCCCAACTACTGAGTGACCCAAAAAAAAGGTGCTAGATTTGAGTGGGGCCCAGAACAAGGGAAGGTTCTGCAAAAGGTCCACACTGCTGTGCCAGCTGCTCTGCTACACAGGCCATATGATCCAGCCGAACCAAGTGGGAGTGGCAGACAGGGATGCTGTTTTGGGCCTTTGGGAAGCCCTCGTAGGAAGTTCAGTGCAGGCCCTTAGGATTTTGCAGCAAAGCCAATTGCTCTCCTTTTAAGAAACAGATTTTTGGCCTGCTACTGAGCCTGCAGAGAGACTGAACATTTGACCATGGGCTACAAAGTTACCAGGCAAGCCGAGCTGCCCATCATGAACGGGGTGTTATCTGAACATTACACCATAAAGTTGGGCATGCACAGCAGTGCTCCATCATCAAATGGAAGTGGTATATATATATAGTCAGTTCACAGGAAAGTGACAGAAGAAAAGACTCAGGCCCAATTTACAGATGGTTCTGCATAATATGCAGGCATCACCCAAAAGCGGATGGCTATAGCACGACAGCCCATTGCTGGGACATCCTCAAAGGACAGTGGTGTACATAAATTCTCCCAGTGGGCAGGACTTCAAGCAGTGGACCTGGTTGCTCGCTTTGCTTGGAAGGAGAAATGGCCAGATGTTACATACTGATTTGTGGAATGTGCCCAGGGACTTGGAAGAAACATTAGTAGAAAGTTTGTGGAAAAAAAAAAATTTTGTGATGAGGAAATTTGAGGAAGAGGTATGTGGACAGATCTCTCTGGACCAAACAAAAACAAAAACCAACCATGAAGATGTTTGTCTCATGTGAATTTTAATTAATGGTGGCCTCATAGAGGAGGATTTCAGTAATAAAGTGGACAGGATGACACATTCTGTGTATATCCGTCAGCTCTTTCCCCAACCATGTCACTGCCCAATGGGCTCATGCATAAAGTGGCCATGGTGACACGCAATGGCTCATCTGCATGGACTTCTACTCATCAAGGCTGGTCTGGCTATAGTTATGACTGAATGCCAAATCTGCTAGCAGCAGAGACCAACACTGAGTCCTCAATATGACACCGTTCCCTGGGGTGACCAGCCAGCTAGGTGGGGGCAGGTTGATTATATTGGACCACTTCCATCATGGAAGGGTAATATTTTATTTTTACTGGAATAGACATTCCAGATATGGATTTGTCTTCCCAGCACACAATGTTTC